AGCCATTTCCATTACCGTCATTTACGGTGAACCGGACCTCCTGTTTTTTCGCCGTGTGCTTTGTAGCAAATGGGCCACTCTTTTCAAAGGGAAAGCTTCTCCTTCGAGGCTCTCGCTCATCCTTCATGGAGGAGACGGATGGGTACTTCTGTTCTCCTCCAATGTGGGGGTGGGGTGAGGTGAGGACGCCTACTACTGCCCGTCATCACCAGAATAGAACGCACGGTGATTATAGCTGTATGTGGGCCACCTTTCAGTCTACATACATAGCCATAATGACCCGGCTTTTGTATTCATCTAAAAACGGGTAGAGCGTGAAAACGGGTAGATTTTGCGGCGGGAGTTGCCATTAGACCACCAGTACCTCCGCCAGTGTTGGGAAATTACGTTGTCCTGGCCAGTACCCGAGGTTTTCGGGGTTAGGACACAGGGTAGGCAATGTCCCAAAAATCCTAGTTTTCTTTTGCCAGAGCACCAAAAAAAAAGGAAAACTCAAGAGCCTAGCTCAGTGGGTACACCCATGAACTGTTGAAGATACAGACCCGTGTTCGGGTCCAGATGATGGAACTTGATGAGTAAAACCAACTACTAATGAATTGCCTGGGGCCGGTCAGCTCAATGATAATATCTCAAGACCGTCGCCTTTTAATAAATTTAAAAAAAAAAAGGAAAAAAAAAAAAGCCTTTGTACTGCAATGATGTGGGGCAGGGTAGTGTAGGCCGGGGTGCTCACAGTCTTGAATGCATCTTACAACAAAGAGGGTCACATTCTGAAACTTGTTGTTTTCTTTTTTTTACTTCTCTTTTGTTTGTTATGTGTCCCCTGCCAACGAGGTAGGGCTGTCTCCTCAGTTGATTGTAACCCTGATGTATCCAGTCGTTTTCAAGGCGGAATCCGTGTTTCCGTTTTTTTTTTCTTGTTTTCTTTTTCTGGAATCTGACAATCTGAGTCCGTGATCTTCTCGAGCTGTGTTCACTCAGAGGATTGTAACCCTGATCACACTGGCACTTACGGGACTGTATCTTGCCATTTTCACGGCCGAATACGTGTTCCTGTCTTTTTTTTTTTTTTTGAGTTTCTGGAATCTGACAACCTGGCCACGGCGCTGAGATGCCCTCACTGAGGGCACACTCACACTAAGGGCGTCGTTCGACACACCTCGGGGACGTGATTCCAAGGATTTCGTCTTCGTTCCACCTGTCCTCGGAGCCGATTTTCGAAACCGAAATGTGAAAACACTCCGAGGACAAATCCTCGGGCTCCGAGGATTTTCCAGCCAAATCGTCCTCGGCTCCAAGGGACCTCACGAGGTCCCTCAGAGTCCGAGGATCCGCGATAATCGGGGTGTCGGCGGCGAGTCGAAAAGGGAAATTCATGGTCGGAGGTGGTCCAGTGCTGGTCCTCCGTGTTGAAGACGGACATCGTGAGGCGCCAACGTCCAAAACGTCCACGAACGGCCTCGTCTTTTTACCGTTGTCGGGGATTGGCGGTATGTCCCTGTCGGTTCGTCGGGCGGCCCCACGGCGGTGCCGTGCCGGGCATTGGACGATTTCGGGCGGGTCGTGGAGGTGTCGTAGCATTACCGCAGGCTGCCCAACGGTCGGAAACACGAATTTCTTTAAGCGTCCACCCCCCGCCGGTGGCTGCAGCAATTTCGCACGTTGGCGTCTTCCCTCGTGCAACGTGTGTCTCTGGTCGCCCCGATCGCGACAGCCAAGTGCGTCCCCTCTCCTTCAATGCTGACCTGTGCCGCAGGCTGCCTTTGTTGCTGCTTGCGGCTGTACTGCTGCTTGCCGTTGTCGTCTTTCATATCTGCATCCTCGGTTGCGTCCCTGGGAGGAAACAGAGGCGGCGAACGACGAAGGCGACCGGGAAGATGGAGAAGGTGCAGACGAAGAGGACGATGTCCGTAGGGGCTGGCGGGTCGTCACGTCAGCGTTGCAGCTCTGCGGAAGGCGACAGGCGCCCGAACGACCTGACGCTGTACAGCCACCTGCCGTCCCACGAGATTCCATTGCCTCCGAGTGACGACGACAGCGACGAGCCCCGATCATCAACGGTTCCTCTAGGCAGCGGTTCGACAAAGGATTGGATGGGGAGCCAGCTGTACAGACAGCCCTCGACGCCGACGTGCACTGATCTGCTGGAGGGGCGGACCTCGGTTGGTTATTACGGAGGGCTCGTAGATCTCAACTTCGGTTTGAGGTCTGGGAGTGGCCAGGACGTCACGCACACCATTCTCGTGAACCCGGGTTCTGCCAGCAACCACACAGCGCCTTCGGTGGGGCCGTGTGGCCTTCCTGACACCCGTGGTCGGGATTCTGGTCAGTCGGGCGACGAACATGGACTCGTTTCGCGAGGGCGGGCGGCAATGGGCACAGCAGGTGTTCGCGCGGAGGGGACGAGGACACGTGGATCAACAACGGCAGGCGGCGCAGCCCAGAGAGGAGGGGATGGCGCTGACGGCTACGCTGCGGACGTCGCGGGGCGAGAGGTTTGGGATGATTACCGGCGACAATCGCGTCAATCTAGCACGTCCGCCATAACGAGAGGGGTGGTGAAGATCAATGTACGGGCGGACGACACACCCGGCGATTGCGACCGTGCGGGTGGTGAAGATTGCTCGGCAGGCGACGGGGGCAATGACAACGACGACGACGACGGCGGGGAGATGAAGATTCGTCCGCTGGGGAAGAAACGGGGAGGGCCTAGGGCGACGAGCAAGTCCAGCGAGCCGCGCGCGGGGTGGAGAGGCAAGAAGACTGCGGGAGATGGGTCGGCAGGCGACGGAGCGAAAAGCAGGGCTTTCTGGACCGTGGAACACATGATTGCTCTTGTCAGAGCTAAAAGAGACCAGGATTTGCATCTTGCTGGCCTCGGCCACAACATGGGAAGGATGAAGACGAAGACATGGAAGTGGGCCGACATCTAGAGCAGGCTCGTGCAGATGGGGGTGACGACTAGAAAGGCCGACGACTGCGGGAAAAAATGGGACAACCTGTACATGCAGTTCAAAATTGTGCACAAGTTCATGGGAGAATCGGGGAAGCCTGATTTCTTCACACTGGCGCTGCGGGAGAGAAAGGAGCGGGGGTTCAATTTTCGGATGGACGAGCGTGTGTATTCGAAGATGATGGCCATGTTCAAGGGCGATCACACTATACACCCCACGAATCTGGCGGACACGAGTGCGGCGGGAGGTGTTCAACTGCCAGGCCGGATTGGAGGTCGGAACGATTCAGGTGGTAGTAACGGATGCGGGGATGGGCAGGACGACGATCAGGGATCGACGCGAAATTCAAGTTTCAGCGACGGTGCTGTGGGCGGGTGCGGCAAAAGGAAGAATGTGAGACAACAGACCTTCGACACGATTGCGGACGTCATGAAGGACCACCGGAGTCTGATAGCAACGACGGTGGACAGTGCGAGCAAGAGGCAGTGCTCAATTCTGACTAGGCAATGCGACATTCTCGAGCGAGGGCTAGAAGTGCAGAAGGAACACTACGTGAACGCCGACCAGGCGAACCTGTTGATGTGCAACGCCCTTACGGAGATTGCTAAAGCGATCCGCGAACGATCATGAAGTCAATGGGCCGCACATGTCCAACGTCCACGCGAATGCCTCGTGTGTGCTTCTGGATCGTCGGCGTTGCCCCCGTACTGCGTGCTGCTGTGCGGTGGTGGGCATGTTGTTTACAGAGGACGACTCGTTTCTGCATGCGGTTTCCATTGCAAGAGTCGAGTTTTTTTATTAGTTTGAAGGGTGTTGATTGCTGTCATGCCCGTCGGCGCGTCAGTCGGTTTCAAATTACGACGCCCGATTATTGTTCAATGCCTGTTGACGTGACGCGTTGCAGCCACGCGCAGATGGGGATCCAGTAGGGTTTTCTTCTCGGGGGGGGGGAGGTGGTTTGGTGTCTGATAAAGGAATGGGTGGCAAAGTGTGTTTTTTTTTTTGGGTGGGAGGGGACAATGGAGGACAGGGGCGCCTCCACCATGGTCCTCCTGTGTGTTTTTCTGGGGGGTGGGGGGCGACGGAAGCGTGTCGGGGTCTTTTGACCTACACCATGGTCCTCTTGCGCGCCCACACGCGTTGTTGGCCATACGACGGATCACCAGAAGCCTTCGGGAAAAAAACGGTCCGTGTACGATCGGCCAGGGGGTGGGCTGTCGTGGACGGTGTGGCGTGTACACGGTGTGCGGCGTTGGCGCACCGCATTGAAAAGGAGATTCCGGGCCGCAGTCCGTACGACATTACTCTATTGTCCAGGTCTCCGACGGTGTCGTCTGATCACTGATTCGTCGCCGCAAGCCAGCGCTTCCCGCCCTTTGCGCCTCCACTCTCATGCTTTGTGCAATTCGTGCAGTCCCCCCTCACGTGCCGCAAGCACGTGCTCTTTTTTATATGGCCATCATCGTCACGGCTCCTGCCCACCACGACTGCGCATCATCCACGTGCTCCTTCGTCGACATGGCCGTCGTTGATCTCCAAGCGTCGTACTTGGACGTGCTCCTTCGTCCACGTGTTCGTCGTTGCCGAGTTGCGGACGACATGGCCCCGAGGAACGCATCAGCGAAGGCCAGGCAAAATAGCGGGGCGGGCGACGAGGGGGAAACCAAGAGAGGCAGAGGGCACATCCCTAAGCCGAAAAGGCAGCGCGTTGAAGAGTTGAGCTCCGAGCACACTGCAGACTTCCATCCAAAAGAAGTGGTGATGGTGGACGCGCAAGGTACTTCAGCGGCGCCGCGATTGGGTTTCGGGCGGGATGGGTTGACGAGGGAACAGGTGTCCGCTGTCAAGCAGAGCATTGTTGTTGGTGCTGCTGGGGCGTCGCAAAGGACCCCGAAGGCGGCAGGGGTTGTCATAACGGAGGTGCGCGTCCCGAGGCAACTTCTCGCGGCGACGGGGCAGGGCCAGCCACGTCAGGCACGTCCACTGCAACAGCTGGGGGCTTCAGGGGGGGGAAAGCATAGCCTGTGCAAAAGGGCGATGCAACGGCGATCGGCACTCGGACGGCGGCGGCGGATCGCAGTGGTAGAACCAGAGTCGCCGAAGGTGCGGGCGAGGAGAGGGTAGACGACGTCCGCCACGACGAGGGAAGAAGAGACGGAAAGCGGGAGGGCGACAATGACGACGACCGTCCACTTGTGACGAGGTTGAAGGGAGCCGCAAAGGAGGATGGTCTGGAGGAAAGATCGAAGTTGTGGGTTGATTGCGACTCTTTCTGGGGTCAGGGACCGGGGAAACCCTTGAGGGAGGCGGTTGGCGAGTGCGCGGACTACTTCATCGCAATCGCCAACGGAGACGCGGGAGCTGAACCGCCTGCGATGCTCATACTGCCGCCGAACGACGTGCCGCGCTTCAAGATCGACGACCCTGCGCAGCGTGAACCGGCTCTGCGCAGAGCGCGCAACGTCGAGAAACTGGTGTTGCGCGCCATCCACGGCTGGATCTTCAAATCGTCGTCGCGGTCGGCTGGATTCGCTTGTGCAGAGTCGTACATCAGTGTCGACATTGCCACAGACGTCGCACGAGCAGTTTGGCAGGGGCAGGAATGGTCGATTGTGGTGTCCCGTGCACTCGTGTACCACACCCTGGCGCTGAAGATGGACGTGCCTCTGTGGTTCGCGGGGGTGAAGATTGAGGCGGCAGTATGAGCATCGCGGGGGTGAAGATTGTGGCAGCCCGAGGACGACGACATGGCGGCGCGGCAGGAGGCGACAATTCTTTGCATCGCGGTGTGCTGGACAGACGCACTGTGGTGTGGACAATGGGCGGACGGCGGGCGCGTGAAACATGAGAGGTTGTCTAGGCTTGTGGACCGTCTTCGAGCGTTGTTGAGCGCGTGCATGTGGATCATGCGCATGGGTGGTGACGACGACCGTTCGCACTACGAGGCGTGCCTTTACTCGTCCATGGTCGCCGAACCAACAATGATAGCGGCGGGGTCATACATCTTCAACTGGCGGCAACACATCGTCGACAGCGCGAACCTCGTCTTGGATCGTATAGGGAAGGCTCACCTCACGCTGGTGGAAGAGCTTTTTGGAAAAAAACGGAGACAAGCCGAGACAACATGCACAACACACGTTCCATGCACCACAAAAAAAAAAAAAAAAAAAAAATCATCCCTCGAAAGAATAGCAGCAGTCGAGTACACCGAAAAATCCATTGCCAAACATCATCAAAAAAATGCACCGCTTGAAAGTTCTCAAAAAAATAGGCGCGTGAAGCACATGCGAAACAGCGGGCTCACGAACCTCTTCGTGCCAGCCCTCGAGTACGACTCCCGTCTACGACAAACCCCCCCCCCCCCCCCCCCCCCCCCCCCCCCCCCCCCCCCCCCCCCCCCCCAGACAAGGACCGAATCCATCGACGACTCCACGTCATTGCGCGGGAAAACCAACTTCTCGGCCACTAGGACAATGAAGAGCCGAAATACGAAAAGACGAACGCAGAGGACGAGTACTACATCAGCGATCCCGTCGCACTCCCGCTGCGCAACGGACTGGAACTATACATCGTCGTCGAATACAAGAACAAACACCTGAAAAGAATCCGACCGCGACAGCACGACTTCAACGGGATGAACAGGTAGGCGGCTGGGTGGATCAAATGTGTTTCATCCACTGCGCGAGTGCATTGCGCAGCGCATGAGCCTTGTGCGTCGAAGTCAACAAGGACACTGGCTGCGGGGGGCGATGAATCCCTAGGTCCACTCGCCACCTCACCCCGTTCGCGTCGACCTCCCACAACAAATTCTCGTCGAACTCGATTCCTGCATCGAGCAGGATGTTGTGGAGAATGCATACCGCCGTGAACTGCTGCGGCAGACTCTCGAGGTTCATCTTGTGCATCCGCAGGAAGAGCCTCCACATCCCTTTCAACCTCCCGAACGCCATCTCCACGGCCCCTCTTGCGACCTTTTGTTTCGTGTCGAACCTTTCCTCGTTCGGGTGCTGATTGATTCCTCCGTACGGCACCACCACCCACTCTGAAGGAGGATACCCGTTGTCGCCCAAGATGTATCCGTTCGTCGTCACCCCTCCCGGCAGCGTCACAGGCGGCCCACGAAACAACAATCCCTCTTCCGCGCTCCTCGACAGACTTGACAGCTAGATCACCCTAATGTCGTGGCAGCTACCCGGATATCCCACGAACACATCAAGGACACGCAGATCCAGGTCCACCACAACTTGCGCAATGACGGAAAAACGGTGCTTGCGGTCGAAGTAGTTCTCGCTAGGCGCGTTCGCTGGTTTGTCCATGTAGATGTGTGTACAGTCAACTGCACCATGGCAATTTGGAAAGCCCTTGTCCAGAAAAGCCCGTAGGACGACTTGTTTCCGCACCCCCGTCGGCCACGATATCTTCTCCCCGTACACCCTCAAAATGGCGGCTGTCACATCGCGCAGGGCTCGAACTTCGGAAGTCCTGCCCATGCCGAAGGATGATGTGCTGTTATCGTAAGACTCTCCTATGGCCCACCTATACAGCGCGTATGCGACGATCTGCTCCGGCTGTAGTGGCTCCCTGTAAAACGTCACCTGCCGCTGCACATGAGGCGCACATGCTTCGCTGATCTCCATGAACACTCTCCTCGACATGCGGAGCTTTGCCCGGACGTAGTCCTCTGTCGCGTCATCGCAAACCTGCAAATCCTCCCAAGTTCCGCCAGCTCTCCGCCACATCTACCAACGTGGCGTCGCCCGAGGAAGCAAACCGCACCCGATAGCAGCACACAGCTGAACCACGGCTTGGGATGTGGTGATGCAGTCTGGGGCGTCCAACACCCCTTGCAGCAATAGCCTTTGCCGCCGCCTCGAAAGCGCTGCCTTCATGCGCCCGGCCGCACTCTCGATTTGAAAACGACGGACAACGGCAACCGCAGCCGCCGCGACTGCTGTCTTCTCTGTCGTTGACAGCACAGTAGGTCCATCGCCATCGCAGCCGTCCATCACGTCCCTCGTAGACAAAAAACGACGTCCACCGCCGCCCACCTCCGTGCACGTATGCCGCCACGGTTGAAGACGCCTGCAACCACGTCAGGAAGACAGCCCGGCCCAACGACGCGATTCCGATTGGAGCGTCCACCCACCACCCCTGGCGTCCACCCACCGCCGCGGCGCTTGCACGTGGCGAACGCGACTGCCTACAGGACGTCTTCGTTTCGTCGCGTCGACCACACTTGACGCAGTGGCGGTGCAGCGCCGCTGAAATACGCAACGTGATGGCAAACGAAACCCTACGCGGCGTAGGCTGGCCCCTGGCCGACCCGCCTGTGCGCCGCCACCACGTCGCTCCGCAACATCAAAATTCAAAATTCGAATTTCGAAAGGGGATTTTCCCGCGTTGGCGTTTTTTTTTCCCAAGGGCCCGTGACGTATTCCCGCCGTCTGCATTTTGGCCCACCACGACTGCTACACGGACATCCCGAATTGGCGGCCGGACATTCCTCTCGTGGCTGTGTATAATCTAATTAAACTGGCCGCGGGAGGGCCCCGAGGATTCGTCCTCGGGGCAATTCTCCGAGGACAGGTGGAACGACACCTCCGAAAATCAAAAATTGCTCCGAGGATTCGTCCTCGGAGCCCGAGGACGCGCTGAGGTGTGTCGAACGATGCCCT